TTGGCTATTGGATCACAGAAGGGGGTCAAGAAGACGTTTGTATCTTCAATTACGAGTCAGCTTGAGAAGCTGGGTACTAAGTCCAATGGCATTTCCCGGACTGGAAAGCTGGATTTCAGGTAAGTTGTATTTCGAATTGATTGGTCAACGCATCTAACAATGTCTTAAGATACCTCATTGCAACTGCAATGCAGTCGTTCACCGCTCAACCCTTGGCCAACCAGACTCATGACAACCCTTTCACGAACTCGTATCTCTTGGCAACTCTCATTGTTCCTCACCTCGAGACATACTTCGCGGCTCACTCTGAAGTTCGCTTCCTCCTCCTGGATTACCCTCCTGATCATCTTGCCACTGTACTCGCGTTGCAAAAGCTTGTTGGCGTTGACCTGATGAAGGTTGCCCAAGTCATCGATGCCGATGCCAAGGAGCCCTTCCCATTTACCCACGTCCGCGGCGGCTCTGTCGGTCGTATCTCCAACAAGAGCGACTTGGCCTCGAGCTCGGGATCCCTTCAATCCAAGGGTTCAAACACCGGTGTTTCATCGTCGTCACGCGATGGCATGGCAGTCTCAAAGGCCAACTTCCTCCTGACATCAAAGGCGACCGATGCCGAGATTTCTACTTTCATGTCCACGGTGTGGAAGATTCTCATCAACGTCTCGAAATTCTACCTCCCTGAGGAAGGCTTCAACCCTGGAGACAAGCGCAACTTCTCTCCGTTCCCCCAGCCCAACCAACCGCCCGTCAGCCCTCCCATGTCCCCGCCGTCCTCGGACAGCAGGAGAATGGGAAAGAGGTCGGCCTCAATCAAGACGTCAGGTCGGCCTTCATCCATTGCAGACACGATCAAGACCCGGCGGATCAAGTCTCGAAGGGCCGACAAGAAGATTATGGGGGACGGCGCATCCGTCTTGACCGTCGATATGGACTACGAGAGCGATCTGGACCTCGAGGAAAGACGTCTGATGCCCATGTTTATGAAAAAGTCTCCCCAGCAGTCTCGCAACAAGGGCAACAGCCGCAAAGCTTTGAAGTTTCTCGGCCTTGCATGACGCACTTCTTTTCCACTTCTTCTCTCTTCATTAGTATTCGAGTTAGCATGTGGGCTGGCATCACACTCTGTTGTAAGCATTTGTACTTGTATGAGCGTAACGACCGGTTTCTTTTGTCGTGGATCGTCAGGGGCGAGTCGAGTGAATGGCGACATCGGGGAAGAGGATTCAACAGGAAAAGGGGAGTCGATATCTTCCCCTTTTAGGTCGCGGAAAACTTGCTGCTCGGCTGGGAAGACCGAGGATTTCACCTGCATTCACTGGCGAATCTTTAATGATTCAAGTAGTCACGAATAATACCCAGGGATTTGATTCCCCTTAGATAGGAAAAGAAGGACTTCAAAAGCCGCAAAAAGTGTCACTATCAAGAACCATGCCAAGTGACTGAATTGACCGTTGTTGACGACTTCAGTTACTTGAGTGTTGTCTCCTATTCTCCGCCATCAGGACTTAATTTACAAACAGACTTCACATGAATTCCTACCAACTCAGTCATTCAGGCAGTCTTCGGCCGCAGGAGTGGCGCGTTAGTAAGAGAGGATTCCCCTTCCTACCTTGGCTTATCGGGGCCAGATGTGGGTATCGACTGAGGTCCAAGTGACGCATGTGACCGCGCGGGGTCATGTGCGTGCGTGGTGTCCCCCGGATTGCGGAATGCCCGCGGGCGCAATCCTTCTCCCGTCCTGCCTTTCCCTTGCCCCCCCCCCAACCAACCCCCAAAAGTACAGACAGACCCCCAACCAAGCCCAATCCACGTGAGACCGCGCCCGATGACCGCCGGCCCATCCGAAAAATGCCCCCGGGTACCGTCGCACGTCATATGTCATCGCTGTCAAACTCATGGAAGCCTAGACGTTCACAACTAATCGGGTTGATGAGAACTGTCGGAACAGCAGTCACCAAGCCCGTACGTCATGTCGGGATATCGGTTTGAGAAAAGGAAAGTCACTTGCACATTACTTCGACCCTATCTACCAGAAAGCAGCAGCCGCCAAAGAAAACAAGACAGCCCAGGAGAGACACGGAGATAAAAGGACCCGGCGGGAGATGGATGCTCCCGTCCAGCCGTCGTCTCTCGCGGATCGCACGTTGTGGTAATCATGTGCTCGTCACCCGGCCGCCAGCAATGTTCGGTTGCAAAGTACACGGTGCGCCAGCCCAAAACACAGCCTACACATTTCACACGTAGAGATAGCCTCGTAGCCCTTGATTCCTGCCCATCCCCTCAGCATCCCCAGATGTATTCTCGGTCGAAAGCCTATGCGTGTCTGGCCCTCGGATGTCTGTGCATCTAGGGGTGTTCTGTGTCTTGCCGAAAAACAGCAACATCGTGGTCCCATTACAGAGGTATCTGTCTGTCGAGTGCGTGTGCAGTGTGTAAATGTAGCCGAGGCAACCCAAATCAACACTCATCTATGCGTAGAAGAAGTACGAAAGCAGCAGCAGGGAAGGAGAGAAAAGGCAAGCGACACAGCTTTAGTTGAGCTGGATCCGGTTCCTAACACCTTCGTAGGTTGTGCAATTCTCCCTCACCCGTCTGCCCAGCTGTTTCCCCTCGCCGATCAAATCCGTAAATGCCATAGAACAAAGATAAGGAAAGCGGGCTTCGAGAATAATCGGGATCGATACGTTTAGCAGCAGCCGCCGCCCGAGTTCGAAGAGACGCCGTGACCGGGACCGACCTGCACGCTGGGTTTCGTGTTGTTCGCGGTCGTGCTGCCCATGCGCTCCTTGATCTGGCGGGCCATGGTCAAGAAAGCCTGCTCGACATTGCTGGCGTTCTTGGCAGAGGTCTCGAGGAAGGGGATGCCCAAGCTGTCGGCGAACTCCTGTTTCGGGGTTAGCAACCGTTTCTTTGGATGGGGTGGTCATTTGGCAGGTTGGAGGCCGCCTGTGCAGCATCGCGCTCAGCTGGTGGGCAGGTGGCGGCGTACCTTGGCAACGGTGTACTCGACAACCTTCTTGTCGGACATATCGCTCTTGTTGCCGACGAGCAGCTTGTTGACACCCTCGGTGGCGTATCTGTCAATCTCCTGAAGCCACTGCTTGACGTTGTTGAAGGAGTCCATGTCGGTGACATCGTAGACGACGCAGATGCCGTGGGCGCCGCGGTAGTAGGAGGAGGTAATGGTGCGGAAACGCTCCTGGCCGGCAGTATCCCACTGCAGCAAACGCACAGAAGTGTCAGTGACTACGGCAAACAGAGCGTTTGAACGTATCGACGACAAAGGTCAACTTACGATCTGCAGCTTCACCGTCTTTCCATCGAGCTCTATCGTGCGGATTTTCTGCCATCCGTCGTTAGTAGGCGGTCGGTGGGCGGCACGGAATGGGAGCACATACGAAGTCGACACCAATGGTGGAGATGTAGGACTCAGTGTAGGTGTCATCGGCGAATCGCAAAAGCAGGCAAGACTTTCCAACACCGGAGTCACCGATGAGGAGGAGCTTGAAGAGGTAGTCGTACCTGCGGACGGGTTAGTATCGACATGGAGACGAGAGAAACGGTATCGCTGTATGGCTGTCGAAGTTTTCGCGAGAGAAGGACGACGAGGGCAGGAGTTTGGGATGGATGAAGGGACTCTGCAGCGGGAGATAGTCAGCTTGATGTCGGCTCCGAAAGGCTTCGTAGATCCTTCGCAAGGAGGCGATAGAGGCAACGTACTACTCGGGGTTCATTGTGATAAGCGTAGATGGAGCGAAGACTGGCAGAGATCAGAAAGCGTCGCGATCGGAGGCAGGCGGGGCGATTAAATGGGCGTTGGCGTGGTGGTGGGAGGTGATGGATTTTGGAGGTGTCGTGATGAGGTGTTGAAAGCAACAAAGCCGGTCAAGTGAGGTAGGAGTCGGACGGAGTAAGGCAGGCTACTACGTCAAGGTTTCTAGTGCAGTGCAGCCAGCAGGTCTGGTGGTGCTCAGGGTGGCATAAGGTACCTCTTAGGGACCGTAGTACGAAACCATGGACGGGCAGTGTTTGGTAAGTGGCCAGTGTCCTGTGCCCACCTCACAGTCCCAAGGTGCCTAGAGAGGAGTCCTGTGGCCAGTGTTCAGCGTTTACCTTAGTCCACACGGGCATGCACGCTGCAGGAGCAAACGGGCCCACTCACTCCTCCGTCAGATGTCACCGACGAATGAAACTCTCCGGAGCGCCGCAGGAGCACGGGGTAACGCACGTGACTTTGCGGCTGGTCTGGACCGTCATGAACTTCACCGAACACCCTCCCGGCGCCTCCACCCTTCTGGCACCCGCGCTGCGGCAGCCAGGTACGAACACACTCAGTACGTAAGCAATTGTTGGGACTGACCGAGCCTGGAGGTGGTCCTTAATATCAAATCCCACGTCTCCTTTTCGTACCAGCCTGGGCAATGTTTGAAACGCTTCCGCCGTATCGCAGTACACTCCCTGAGGAAATGAAAGCCTTCTTTGAACGTGGTGATTTATTTTCAGCTCCAGTTTGTTTCCAAACACCCTCCGTGTTTCCGTCATTTCTTTTCATCTTTGCGCACACTGGTATCTACGTTTCTAGCTTCTTCCGATGCTTTGCGTCAGGTTTGGTACCAGGCGTGGCACGCCTCCATAATGCCGCCATTGTATAGAGTATGCATGGTTTCGCTGACAGGACCCCACCCTCCGCGCTTCGTGTGGAGTTGCCCAGATCGCCAACTTCATCTCTAATCGTATGTAGTGTATTTATCACCTTTCCCCGTGTTGATTGTTTGTCTGTGCATGTCCGAGTCCTTTGGATGCCTGGCACGTCAAATGCTCGTCATTTGACACAGAGCCTGGCTGTCATGGCTTACGAAGGCCTCAAACGATACATCGGACAGTGGCGGGCTCGGGGTGTGCAGACTGACTCCCGGAAGCAGACATGCGTCCCTGTGCTTGGTGACGCAAGGGTGCCAGCCCGCTGGAGACATAACCGTGCAGCTGGATGAGTCCCTGATTCATCGTGACTCCTTAGCGATAACGGGCAAGCCATCGGCTTTCGTCTTTTTTGTGACAGCCTTCAACCCTGCCATCGTCACCGCGAATTCAACGGCGCCGTCCAATCCCTGTCCTGTCGCCTTGGCATGCGGAGCGAAGACCACCTTCATCCACCGACGCCAGTTCTTGAGCGCTGGCACCCCTCCATCCTCAGCTTCATCGTCCACATGTCGATGAACTCCGTAGACGGGTTTCTTGAATAGCGCAATGCGGCAGGCGATCTGCGTCGACCAGACCAGTCCCAGACTTGGCGTCTTGAGGCCGTAATCGGCAAGAGGGTCGTCACCCCATCCTGTAAACCACCGTTGCTGATGATCCAATGCCAGCGCGGGCAGGGCCGGGGGTCCGACATCATCGAATCCGGGAGGTTCTGGAATGCTAGACCGCAACTGCTCCGCCATAGACGACGGCGGCTCGACAGCGGATAGTGAAAAGTCTGGCGGCGGGCCTCTACTCCTTGACGCCAGTGGGCTCTCTTGAGTGAACCTTACGTTGGTACTAGGCGGCGGCATTCTGGAGACCGCAAGTGGGCTGGAGAACCGATCCGCAACCTGGTTGGATACCACGACAGCCAGGCTGTACTTTTGAGCCAGCTCTCTAAGCAAGGCACCCAGCCGTGTCAACTCGTGACTTCGAGCTCCCATGTTTGATCCCTGGTTGCCCATAGCACCGCGCTCAAACTCAGCTCGGTAGTTGGAAGCAACGGAATCGAGAACGATGAGGCCGATGTTGCGTCGCTCAACTTCGACTGGGACTTGGAACTGGAGGATGTGCTCTTGTGATTCGAGATCAGGGGTCGATGTGCTTGAGATGCCGTCGAAAGAAGGTCTCTCATCATCGGGAAGATCTTTGAGTCGCGGGTTTGCTGACATCATTTGTGACAGTCGTCTGGTGGACAACTGAGCCTCTGTAGTGATGTACAAGGCGGGCCGACCAAGACCATAAGGAGGGGGTAGCTGAACAGCGAGTAGCAGAGAGAGCAAGAATTGCGTTTTCCCAGCACCACTCTCTCCCGTGATCTCGGTCACGTATCCGGTTGGCACCCCTCCTCCCAGCGCTCTGTCTAGGTCATCGTCGAGAGTGCTGATAGTAGACCATTGATTTTGCAGGTCTGTGAGCGATCGCTTGAGAGGCGGGCTCTCGTCCGAATCAAGGTGTGGGGGACCAAAGTTGCGATGAAGGGCGTCGACGACAGCTGCACATAGCCTCTTGACGTCAAGAAGCGGCAACTGCGTACGCTTGCCGATGTCAACAACATCCAAGGTCAGGAGCTCGGTGGTTGATATCTGGTGTCTTTCGAGAGTCTGCACGAGTCCAGCAAATTGCCTGACAGGAAAGTCAGGCAGGAGCTGCGAGAGGTCCGTCATGGCATGGAGCAGATGTCTAGTGGTATGAGGCGGCGAGTTTGGTGCATGGCCCACAAAATCGGATTGTGTGTTGATTCACTCAGAGTCACAAAAGGACTCGGTGGTGATTGACCAGGCACTGGGGCCCGGATTCAGATGAGTGATCTGCAGCCTAGGACGCGTTGACAATCAAGTCATCAGACTCGACAAATTTGTGTTATGAAAAACAGGCGGGAAGGAACACGTCGATGCTCAGCGCTGCATGTCGACCAGGTACTCTGAACAGTCTCCAACCTGCCAGGGCAAGTTGTTGCATGCGACACAACCAAAATCACGGTGTTCACGGATTTCTGCAGCTTGTTACTGCAGTTGGAAGTTGCAGTTACGGTTGCAGGGTTCCTTACCGACGACGATTGGGCAAGAGTTGGAGCTTGGACTTCATAGAGGGGTGTGTTACGTAATCACAGACAAATGCCTATTCGCCAAGCAAACGTCTGCCAAGCGGCTCTACGTTCTATTTATCGTCTACATGGCCATCGACAGAAGTCTTGTTTTGCAGCAGCCTTGTCTTCTGTGGACATTCCTTACTACCGACCACAAAACGGCACAAACAAGATCCTTGAAGCGCCATGGATCTTTGGCATATCAGCCTCGCCCAGGCCCGAACCGCTATCCGTTCCCCCGTCGTTTGCAAAACAAGCCCCCGAATAACACGCGAAAAGACTTTAACGACGGCTTGGGAGTCCTCCAGCCCAGACTCAATTTGCACGTGTGAAATTTATTCTCTGGCAATTCCGCCACTCCGTCAGGCCATATTCCGGTTCCCGAGAGAAAACGCAGCGTAGGCAGCAAGTCTACTAGCATACGGCTCTCGTGCGAACTATCAGACCACCCTTATTTCGACCTGACCCGAAAAAGAAAGCACAGGCCCGAGGCTGAAGTCTGCCTTGTACCGATGCTCTCGTCTAATTTCAGGTTGGGTTGGCCGATAAGCCAGGAAAGATAGTGTCTTCTCTGCTGAGGACCACTAGGCCAGGCTGGCTCAAGGGCGACAGTTCACACGCCGGACACGCACCGATCAGCCGCTAATCTCGGGAAATCCGACTTCCAACGGCATGGTTTGTCGCTTGTAGTGCCCTTGCTATCCTGAAGGATTCGATCGTCATGTTCGGTGCTCGCGAATTCATACCGAACGAGACAAACTCCACACGTCCAACCGTCAGCATCGTCATAAACTGTCCACGACGGCCTCAATTCCTCCAAAGGTGCCGGAACCGTTTCCGTTAAGCGACGACCAAGAAATTCAGACCACTGGAAATTGGGAATGGCAGGACGTTAAGCAGGAATTCCCATGCTGGGGCTGTGATGCGACGGCTTGGCAACTCAAGGGCGCTTGCGAATGATGCCCGATCAAAGTCTCAGAATGTCGTTTGCAAATGTCTCGGCTGGGACTGTTAGCTCTCAGTAGACCTCCGCATCAACCCCATCCACATCTATCAGCGCTTGATACGCTGCTGAACTCTCCCTCTTTATCGTTTGTCTTTGTTTCCGCGTTGACCCCGCCTTCTCGGGCACGCTCTTTAAACATTCGCCAAGCGGCTGTCTTTCCCTTCTCTCTTGGTTCGCACTAACACGGCTTGCTCTATTCAGCTCCTGCAAGCCACAAGGAACCGACCGCAACGCAATTGGTCTGGCTGAACCCTGGATGCCTAGCTAGTCGCTCCCCTAAAGCCAAGCTTCCCGACTATGATACGAAATTGGCTAGCCTAGGGCTGAGCACCTTGCGATTCGCTGTCGAAGCCAACCAAGCATCACCGGTCCCCGTCGGTGCTCACATCAGTTGCTTCTAACAGCACAACTCGTACTCGGCCGCTGGCGCCCCGAGCATGTTGAGTAGGACAACAATCGAGCGTAGAGGACTGGGAACACAAGGAATGCCTAGTTTATAATGGCGTCCAGCTCTCAATGCCCAAGGGCCTCATTCTTCTCCCACCCCGCCCTGCTTGGTCTCCCTTGACTACTTCGACGTAACTCACAATTGATCAGTGCTCGCCCGTCTGATTAACTTCAAACACAACTCAGTCATCATGGTGACTTCGATACGATCCATCGCAAGCCTGGCGGTCCTATCTGGACTCGCCAATGCGAAATTGTACGCCGTGCCCGAGGCAACCACAACGTTCAACCTGCCGCTCGACCAATTCAGCCCGCAACCTACGAAGGCGCCCGCCTACGCGGATCTGAGGAGAAGACAAACATCAGCCGCGACCACCGTGCTTGTTGCTCCGGATAACACTTGCGGATACATCTCCGGTCGTGCCGGCGCTGCTTACACTTGCGGCACTGCGGCCAGCTGTATCTTCTTCACATCGACTTCGCGAGTCAAGGGTTTCGTGGCATGCTGTGACGCAGACGACTGTGGTGCGCGCCGCACCTGTTACGACGCTCGGCAGATTTCTTCATCGAGCGTTTGCGACAATGGCTGCATGGTGGACAAGTATACCCTCAAGTGGTACGTCTGAACGTGATGCTGCCTTCTTCTCTCAAGCTAACGCGAACGTCCAGCACCAACACAGCAAGGCCATACTGCAACACTATCTCCTTCTCGGGCAGCGTCTTTGACTACTGGTGCAACACCCTCGAAATCTCCACGGCACAAGCTGCTGTGACGACCTTTGAGGGCCAGACAGGGCGTACTTGGGTACCGCTCGCTCTAACGGACGACGCTACTTCGAGCCTTCGGGCCCCGAGTGCGTCCGGCAGGTTCACCGCGACCGGAACCGGCTCCCCTGCAGACCCAGTGGCTTCCGACCCTACTAGCAACAACAACAACAACAATAATAACAACAACGACAACGATAGTAACGACAACAAGTCTTCCACCCCCGTTGGTGCCATCGTCGGAGGCGTTGTTGGAGGCCTGGCTGTCATTGCTCTCGTCGGCCTTGCAATCTTCCTCATCCTCCGCAAGAAGAAGAAGCCGGCCCAGAACCAAAACCAGCAGCCTCCTCAAATCCAGCCCCAGCCCCAGATGGCTCAGAACAACTACCAAGGAGGACCACCGCCTCAAGCGTCCCCTCAAAACCAGTACGCTACGACTACTCAAAGTCAGGTGTGGGACCACAAGTACGGCGGTCCCCCGGTGGCAGGATACCCCCAGAGCTACGGCAGCACGCCTCCTCCTCCCCAGGGCGGTTACCAGCAGCCTGGACAGCCCGGTTACTTCGCGGCGGGCAACATGGTGCCCGACCGCGCAGACACCACGAGCCCCATGTCCGTGTCTCAAGCAACGGATAACCGGTACAGCACCCAAACCGTCGCCGGGTACCAGCCGCAACAGCCTCCTCCGCAGCAGCAGCAGCAGTTTGCGCAGCCGCAGCCTACGATTCACGAGGCGCCGGCCACCAACGATGGCCACCGGGGCCAGATGCATGAGCTCGCTTGAGCAGGCACGTCCTCCGCTTGTGCGTGCTAGCTGAGGGGCAGGGATGTTGATGTGATGATACCTGTTGCTTTTTTCTTGTAAATTTTATGGCAACTCTCTAGCTTACGCCGGCAATAGATGGAAACTCTTTTCCCGTAGACCAGTGTATGACAGTACCTCGTGATAGAGAATTTCAAAATTGCAGCGGGATGGATTGTGCTACATAATACCATGTAAATGTGCCACGCGCAAGATTCATGATGCAATGGACAGACACAAGAACCAAGTTCTCGTCATTCACAGATACGGACGGGATGAACAAAGGTGAGAAGGATCCGTCAATTGCGTGAATATCTGGTCTAACCCCATGGTTCACTTGGAGTAAGTATCCCTTGGGTACCACATAGAAGAAAACGCCAGAGACCGAGACATTCCGCGACCGCCATGGAACTCACACGCAGCTGTAAGTTGCATCAGATTCCTTCTAGACTTCTGAAATGGTCGTGGGAAATGTCTTGATTTGGTGCCGGGGTCCGAAATCCTGTTTGACACATGTGCAATTCTAGTATCTAATGCGCTCTGTCGTCAATGTTGCTGATTTACAGGTGCAGACCATAAGATCATAGAACTAACATCGACGGACCATGCATAAGTTTATCCGAATGGAGGGTATATTTCCAGAAAGAAAAGCGCTTGCTACTCCATGTGCTCAGCTTGCGCAAACTCAGGGGTGTCACGGCATTGATTCCTGTACCACCCAATATCCATTGTCCACGTTCCAGTCATACACAAAACGTGTCGTCGTACAACATCACCGCGTCCGCTTCAGGCAGCCAAACAGGAAAACAGACAAGTGGCCGGATCAGTAGTCGATCAGCCTCAGCTTCTTTCCAATCTCCCTACGACGCGCCTGCACCGCCGCACGCTCCGAGGGTTTCGTCTCCCCGTTGTCGAGATTCTCGCCACGGGCCTTGAGCGCTTGGAGCAGCATCCCAGCATCGAAGAAGCCATCTGCAATAGCAAGTTAGCAAACACTTCACTATTTTGCATGGTTCCATCAGTTACTTACATCCGCCAATCTCATCGTCCTCGCTAAGGGCAATGCTTTCCTCGGTGGGTGACTGCGTTCCCGTCGAAGATCTGGCGATCGAGGGTTTGATCGCGTCGTGAGCCGTGATTAGGCGGCCGCGAGACTTGATTCCCTTGACCGGCTTCGGGCGCGGCTGGTCGAGCTCACGGGCACGCGTCTGCCTGACGCCTGTGCCGCGGCGGGATGTGATTCGGAGTATGCGCCTGACCTCCAGCAGGTAGCTCTCGAGAGTATCCACGAAGCGCTTGGTCTGGCGGTGCTTGCTCGAAACACAGATTGCGAGACCCTCATCCTTGATGATGTAGCCGATGCCGAACCCGTCACCGGAAGTAGGCCCAAAGCCAAAGTGTCGTAGTGATGGGTTGCCGCAGTTGGAAGTGGACATGATGGTGTTATTCAGCTTGTCCCAGCCGCTGTCGGCGAAGATGTGCGGCATCGAGGCTTGACCGTTGCCGTTGCGAGAGTTGGTGCTGTCGCCGCGCGCGCGGCCCGTAGACTGCACATCGA